AGGCTCCCGAGTAGCTGAGACTACAGGTGCGTGCCACCATGCCCTGCTAATTTTTCTATTTTTAGTAGAGATGGGGGGGGGGTCTCACTCTTGCTGAGGCTGGTCTCGAACTCCTGACCTCAAGCAATCCTCCCACCTTGGCCTCCCAGAGTGCTAGGATAACACGTGAGCCACCACGCCCAGCAGATGTCTCATATTGGTGACTGATTGATTAACCAACCCTGAGCAACAAGGCAAAGATCTGTAGCAACTCTACCTTAGAGAGGGAAAAGCAGCCCTAAAGAAATCAGACGAGCTCTTATTCTGGTTTTTGTGGCCGGGCACAGTGGCTCACATCTGTACTTCCAGCTACTCCGGAGGCTAAGGCAAGAGGATCCCTTGAGCCCAGGAGTTTGAGGCTGCAGTGAGTTATGATCACACCACTGCACTCCAGTCTAGGCAACAGAGTGAGACTCTGCCTCTAAAAAAAAAATCTGATTTTTGCTATTAATCATAGAAGTACTTGTTATATATTGTCATTGAATAAACATTAAATAACCTGTTCCCCCATCTATGTAAGATGATTTTTATTCAGACCATTTTCCTTTTCATCACTTGTCCCTGTAGAAGATTGTAATACATAAGTGCTTTGTTTTATAAAACTTTAGTGATCTCTAGAAATTCACCACAAATGTTCTTTATTGAATTAAACAGATAGTTCCATCTTGTCATATGTCATAGCATACCTATTAGACTTCTTGAGAGTAAGGACTCTGTCTGATTTTTGTACTATCTATTAATATGAGATTTAGTATGTGCTGAAGTATGATTTTTAAAAAATTAAAAACTTGATTTTTTTCACTAATAAATATAAAATGAACATATATCAAAGATTTTATTCAACTCTTTAATTAATAAAGAAACCACTGATACGAAAGCAAATTCTTGAAACAGAGATTTATGTAATTAATCAGTCAAAGGAATTCTGAAATGAATTTGTTATATGCAGGCCGGCTGTGGTGGCTCACGCCTATAATCCTAGCACTCTGGGAGGCGGAGGTGGGAGGATTTCTTGAGGTCAGGAGTTCGCAACCAGCCTGAGCAAGAGCAAGACCTCGTTCTACAAAAAATGGAAAGAAATTAGCCGACCAACTAAAATAAGAAAAAAATTAGCCAGGCTTGGTGGCCTACGCCTGTAGTCCCACGTACTCAGAAGGCTGAGGCAGGAGGATCGCTTGAGCCCAGGAGTTTGAGGTTACTGTGAGCTAGACTGATACCATGGCACTCTAGCCTGGGCAACAGAGCGAGACTCTGTTTAAAAAAAAAAAAGAGAGAATTTGTTATATGCAAAACTGCTTAATATCCTACCAGGCAATAAATCGTAACATTTGAAGTTATCTTTTCTACTGGAGATAAATCAATTGCTTCTTTATACAATGAAATTCATTTCCATTGCTATAGACTGAAATCAATTTTCTTTGCCCTCAGACAAGAATCATCTGCATTTCAAAGTCTTTTGCACTCTTCTCCTATATTAATCTAGTAAAGAGAAAGGTGCACACCCCTATAGAGAAAGGTACGCTCCTAAGGGTCTGCTATACAATGCCTAACACTGCACTGAAAGAACACCCAGTTATCCCTTTTTGCCTATTTCCAAGTGTGGGGTAATTTTTCTCAACATTCAGAATCTTACATATAGAAGTTGCTCAATAAATGTTTGTGAGGGTTAATAATACTTGCAGGAAAATTCTGTAGTCCACATTTAGCTGTACCAACTCTGAAATGTCTCTGGAGACTCACACTGATGGGAGCATGATGCCTGTGACATGAATATAGTATTTATAGATATAGAGCTTTTTATAAACTTCTGTTCCCTTGTATTCTGTTAGCCCTGAGATGCCCGAAAATGAAGCCACCTTCGCAATCACTGCTGGAGGAATTGGGGATGCCAAGGAGTAGGTGGTGGATTGATGCAAATTGCTTCTTAGTGCTTATTAGGAGCTGAAGAAATGGAAAGCAGTCTCAAATTGCACATCTTGAAATAAGACTTTGTTTTTTTTTCACGTTATTAAAGGAAAGTCAGAAAAAGAAATTTAAATCTTATATTTATCTTTAAAGTCCCTGATTTATGATAACTATACATCGTATGCCAATGCAGGGATATATATATATATAATGTGTGTACATATATATTCCTGACATATATAAAAACTATGTATATATATATATATACACACACATATTGAAACTATATATATATTCCTGACATATATAAAAACTATGTATATATATATATACACACACACATATTGAAACTATATATATATTCCTGACATATATAATAGGGATGCATATACACATATACATCTATTAAAACTATACATATATATATTAATATATGAGAAACTAGTTATGGAAGGGGTACCTGATTCCCTTACTTTTACTTTTCAAAGTGAGCCCCTAAGCAAACAAGAAGTCTAAGGGCTCAGAAATGTCACATTCTCCTACAGACTTCCCCTCAAACATTACAGTGCCACTGACTTATAGAGCTGGATACTCTTCCACAGGAGAGAGACATTTGAGGGGAGGATGTTTATAGGACACACAGAAAAGCCCTTTTTATTTACAATATCAAACTGCATATTCACCTTTATAGCAACAGAAAAGAAACATTAAATTAAGCCAAATTTTAAATCATTTGACTTTTGACAAGTTGAAGTTACTTTTAAAAAATGTACTTCTGATACATACATATTCTCTTGGGAAGATAAGGAGGAAGGTAATTAGAAAATTTATAATTTTGGGTGATAAAGATAGCATGATTTTTATATTTTAAGTTTTAGGTAGAAAATTCAAAATCTTTTAAAAAATATTAAAGTTAATTTAAATGTAAAATTGCTGAATAATTATTTTTGAAATGTGTAAAAGAATATTTTTTTCTGATTGTTAAACAAAACTAAAATCTAGTTTTCAAAATGTATGTATGATTAAAATATTTAAAAATTAAAATACTAATGATATATACAATGACAATCTTTATAGACTTCAAAAATATTTAATGTTTAATGTATCAATTGATATGAAAATTCAAGTATTGAAAGTACTATTTGTTACAAAAGGTATTGGATTATCCATTAAATTATTCACTCACTAATTGTTATTCAATGCTAAGTGCTGAAGAATAAACAAGGAAAGTATGGTTCTTGCCCTCAAAGAACCTGAACGCTAGTTAAGAGAAAAGACTAATATTTAGGAAAATAAGAGAGCAAATGATTATATAATTAATTCATTAGTGGTGTGGTTTTAGATTGATCCATAAAGAAAAAGTAGGATTCCAAAAATGGAAGAGGAAAGGTTAAGCTGAGAGACAGCATTTGCAAAGGTATAGAAGCTGGGATTTGGAAACAAAAACAGAGACTGACCTGACAAGTTGAAATTGTTCACAATGCGGGGTACTGGGAAATAAGAGCTTTTTTTCCTTCCTTTTACTTTTTTTAAACTACAGAAGCTGCTTCTCTGAATAAGCACAGATAAAGTCATCTCGGAGCAGATTTTCTGTATTCTGCAAAATCAATTAAATGGCTTCCTCTAGTATGCAAATATAAAGGCATACTTTTGTCCTAGGGAAGGGAAGGTTTGTTAGTTGATGCATTGTATGTGTTTTTAATTTTCTGTATATTATACTGTTTCCACATCTTAAAAAAATCTTTCTAGCTGGGAAGAGACTGCCTCTGCTGAGGCTAACCAATTCTTAAAGATAGCAAAGGCCGCAGCCTGGGGCATGTCTTTAATATGCAAACTAACCAATCTACAGCCATACTTCCTCTATCCGACCTGTATACCCTCGAAGGCAATATTCCTTTGCCTTAATTTTCCTGGGGCAACTAAGGACCACTCACCTAACTTAGAGCCCATTAAAATTATTCAACAGGCCAATCCTCAACTGTTTACCCTGCCCTGCCTTGCCTTTCCCTTGGAAACTTCAATAAAGGCAGCGGCCACAGCCAAGCTCTCCCCTCCAGGAGGTGGCCTCCTGACCAACCTCTTGTGTTTCCCTGGGACCCTGCACGGCATGTGGTACCCCTTTCTCTAAGACCCGTGGGAGTATAATTAACTTTCTTCTTCTATTAATACAAGCCTCTCCTGCGTTTCCTTCTGTAGCCACACCTGACTATCCTAGGAATGCAAAATTTAAATAGTTTTAACAATACTCTTGATAAAAACTGAGCATCTCCTAGAGATTCCCTGGTTTGAGGAGCCCTGGAGAGTGGGTGGACCAATTTGCATAGGATCCCAGAACCTTTGGGTACGGAAGGAAATAAAACTCCCAAGATTTGAAATCCAGAAAATTTTTTTTGGTTAAGCTGAGTACCCCTTACAAAGGAGGATTTACTAAGAAGAGGGCAGAAGGGTTGGAAACCAGGACTCAACACAAGGCCTATAGTTCAGTGGGGAGGCTGGTTTCAATATGGCATGTGGCTAAGGTTGGTAACCTCTCTGGGTCCAGCAGCTCTGATATGTGTTGCTTTGGAGAACAGTAGCTGAGCATGCAAATATGAACTAAAAAGCTGTGATATGGGACCCAACTTTGGGGCAGCACTACAGATTGTGCAGGTATCTGGGCCAGCAAGAGCATCAACAGAGCTCATCAAACTTTTGTAGGCCAGTGTTCAATTTGTCACCTGTGACCAAAGCATCAGGGCTTTCCAGTCCTCCTTCTCCACCTGAGTGTAGAAATAGCTCTGGCCTATTTCTGGCCTATATGGCAAGGGATGGGAGGTGCTCAAAAAAGAGAGTTTATTGGTGAGGACTCTTGGTTGCAAGCCACAGAAACACAAACTAGCAAATGCAAGACGAGGAATTCATTGGCTCACAAAACTGAAAAGTCCAGAGGAAGAGGTGACTTCAGCCGCAGGTGGAGCCAAGATCTCAAACCGCATCATCAGGACTTGTTCTTGCTGCGTCCATCTCCTGCTCTGCTTATTTCCATGCTGCTCTTGTCCTCAGACAGGCTTTCCCCACACAGTAGCCAGGATGCTGCCTGCAGCTCTAAGCTTACATCCCACCAAGTTAGAAAACCTGCTAGAAAAAGCATGCCTTTTTCCTCATAGATTATTCACATTCTATGGGAATAAATGAGCTTCTCAGGTAAAAGCCTTAATCTCAACCACCCAAATGAGAATAAGCAGAACCTATTTATTCAGAGCTTGCTACAGCAAAAGAGTCAGGGATCATCATTTGCCTTTGGTAGACTCAAAGGCAGGCAGAGGATGGGAAATCTTTGAAGCAGAAAATAGGGAAGGTAACAAGTATGCTGTGATTCTAGGTGTTGGCGTGGGGCAGCTAGAAGATTGATCTGGTGGAGACATGGAAAATAGATAAAGGACATAACACTGGCATGGGGAGACAATTTAGGACAGTTACAATAATTCAACTGGGAGATGATAAAGGATGGCGCTGGGGTGGTAGCAGTGAAATGGATAGACATTTCAAAAAAATAGTTAAGATTTGGTTTGAGATGGAATATAAAGAGAGAAAGAGAAGGCAGAGTCAGAGGTGACTGTTGAGAAAGTTCTCTAACCTATATCATGAACTGGAATGAAGAGATAGAGATTAAGGCTTTTACCTAAGAAGCTTATTGTGTTAGTTATTGGATTAGTTGTATTAGGGCTGCCATAACAAAGTGCCATAAACTGGGTGGTGTAACAGAAATGTACTGTCTCACAGTTCTGAGATCAAGGTTGGTTCCTCCTGAGGGCTATGAGGAAGAATCTGTTCTATGCCTGTCCCCTAACTTCTAGTGGTTACCTGGCCATTCTTGGCATTCCTTGGCTTCTAGAAGAATCACCTTGATCACTGCCTTCATCTTCACATGCTGTTCTTCTTACTGTGTGCATGTCTTTATGTGCAAATTTCCTCTTTTTAAGGACAACACTCATATCTGAGTAGGGGTCCATCCTACTCCAGTGTTGCCTCATCTTAACTAATTACATCTGCAATGACCCTATTTCCAAATAAGGTCACAATCTGAGGTTTCGGGGGTTAGGACTTGAACATTAATTTTGGGGAGACAGAAATCCTAAGAATCAGGTACAGTCAAGGGTCAAACACCAGGATGCACAAGACACAGTCTGAACTGGCTACAGTGAGAAACATGCAAGTCAAGATCTAGGGGAAATAGTATCTTTATTTAAAAAATGAAGAGATTGAAATAGATATCTCTCCCAACCCTTTCTAACTTTCCAGTTCAATCATTCTTTAAAGAGCAAAGAAAAAATAAGAACAGAAAGCCAGGAGATCAGTATAAAAACTAGAGAGTACCATAAACTAGACTCAGATACAAGGAATACCTTCATGGAGAGGAGAGGGATTGGACCTTCGATACCAAGCCGCAGTCAGTCAAGTCTCCTTCAACTGACCCTGGCTTGTTAGATAGTGAGAGTGTTTATCATTTTTGGTTGCATAGATCTCCATAATAACAGTGGTTTTCTTTCAAAGAGTCACCTCTCCCCAATTCATGTAGTCTATCCTGAGACATCAGATACCAAGTGACAGTCACAAGGATGAGTGAGAGCAAGGGTTAGAGGCCACTCACACATGCAGTATAGCAGGAGCAGTCAGGCGGGCAGCAGTGATGGTGATCTGAGCAGCCTGCTCCTGCTGCTAGACTGGAGGTTTCTGACTCCTCGATAGAGTTGCTCAGACTCCCGTCCACTCCCAGGCTAGTTCTTCAACCTCCTGCAAATCCAATGACCCCTACTGTCCTTCTGATACATTTCCCTTTGTGTCAGTTAGCCAGAGTTGGATTTTGTGTTTTTTTGAGACAGAGTCTCGATCTGTTCACCTGGCTAGAGTGCTGTGGTGTCAGCCTAGCTCACAACAACCTCAGACTCCTGGGCTCAAGCAATTCTCCTGCCTCAGCCTCCCAAGTAGCTGGGACTACAGGCGTGTGCCACCAT